GTGTGGGTGACAACCACAGTGGTGATCATAATCATAATGAGGGAGATGAAGATGATGGTAGTGTGTGAGATGGTGATGGCGAGGAACGTGATGGTGTGGATGACGCTGATCCTACCAGTTACCAGATGCTAGCAGTGTGCCGTGTCCCGCCAGGACCGCCTTCTCAAGAGCTGAGTGCGCCATGGGCACATGCGGCCCACAACACGCTTCATTTACTGCTCTTTTCCGGGCTTACGGTTTACGAAGTAGGGTTCGGGGTTAAGTTTTTATCCTCTAGGACATCCACTTTAGGCCCCGCCCCGTGCCTGACCCCGAAACCCCATGACCTCGACTCCTACAGCACGGCCCTATGCCCAGAACTTTAGCGTGTAGGGCTTGCAGGGTTCATGGGGTTTCGGGTTCATAGGGTTTGCGTAAGGTTTACTAAGTTTACTAGCTTTAAGGTTCAGGATCCGAAGATTCTACTTCTGGTGCTGCGCACGCCACGTGCGCTGATGCAAAGTCTTCAGGCGACTCCGGCGCAAGTGACAAGACATGAGACAGGATGTTCAGTCCTGGCGATAATGATGTCCTGCACTATCTGAACCTCTGTCTTCTCCAAATAGCACACTAAATCCTCGACCTCTTACCCCGAGCAACCGAAATCTTCAAGACTAAACTTCTGAACTCTGCAAGCCCTTCTGGTGGAGGAGGTAGTGCAGGCAAGGTGGTGTCTCAGAATACGACTTCCCGGCCGGTCGACTTTTTCAAACCCCCCAACACAACCGGAGATTTATTTTGGGCTGAAGATGAAGGATGTAGAACTAGGGTGCCGTAGATCTAGAGTCTTGGATCTAGGGCTTTATTTAGGAAGTCAGGATGCAAGAGACCTCCGGCACCCCCAACCGACCATAGAAAAAGCAGCAACAGTGGCAAGAGTGGCAGTGCTTATTATGGTACGAGGAGGCATGAGAGTAGCAGTGTTGTTGAGTGTGCTGCTGGCAAGAAGCGTCCCTAAACCCTACAGTAAAGCTTCAAAACCCTGATGCTGAATCTCAAGCCCGTAAAGCTCCCAAAGCCGGAAAAATGTTAGACCCTCGAAGAAGCTGGCAGCATCCAGCTTACCGGTGCAAGGCCTGTGATGCAGTTTTGTCGGGGGGTGGTTTTCCCACGAAGCCGTGCTCTCCCAGATGCCTCCAAAAATCAGCTTTGGCCATGAAGCCCCGAAACCGTCCGTTTGGGCATGGCATGACGGAATGAGGCAGGATGTCAGCTCAGTGTAGCAGGGGAACCTCTGCCCGAAAACCTGAGGCCTCAAGCCCTACACCCTATACCCGAAACCCTGAACACGGGCGTCCGGTAGAGCACGGCGTCGTGCCGGCTTCCGTGAACCTCCAAACCAAGCGCGCCGAGATCGACTCCACCAACCGCTGCCATTTCTCTGGGCTTGGATTGAGAGAGGAGCTTGAGGGTTTTAAGCTTTGGCGTTTGGGGTCTTGGCGTTTGAGGGTTTAGGGTTTCAGGGTTGGAAGTCGGGATAATTGTTTTTGGGCATAGGGTAGCTTATGTAGCTGTTGGCTGATGAAATGAGAGTCTGGGTCCAAAGGTTCGGGCGAAGTGCCCCAAGGGCAAAGAATGCATCTGACTGGTCTTGTTGGTTTCTTGATGCAGCTCTCCGGCTGCTAGTTTTTGCAAACCCTAAGCCCTAAACCCATAGCGATGTGAGGGATGTCGACGGTGAGGACTGCGAGATGAAGGACAACGCGATGACGATCGCATGGACACAGATTGGAGATGAGGCTCTCTGTAAGCGATGACAACAAGAACCATGACGACGATCATCATGCCTTTGAGGAACTCGGCCGTGGTAATGATCGCGGTGGTGGTGCTGGTGCCTGGCGGTGGTTTCGATGGTTGTGGCGACGTTAAGTCACAGCGATGATCAGAATTAGAAGGTTGTCACAAGCATAGAGGGTCCCCCCCGCCCCAGATCGAAAGCTCGGAGAACATGTCGAGAAAGGGAGCCAGCCGCATGGATGAAACGATGAAACCTCTGATAGCGCTCTGGCCCAAGACAGCACGCCGGACGGGTTCAGGCCTGCCCGAGGTCGGCCAGTTGTTTTGAGGGCTTAGCGGTTTGTCTGTACATACATGTTACGTATAGTCACAGTACAATGCCAATACTTGTTCAAGCCTCCCCCTGCAGCGAACTAGTAGTACCAGCTAGTTGGCGGGATAGCACGAATAAGTATATTCAAAGCTCGAAGTCTTCTGCGATAAGCTGATTAACTGATCAAAGGTTCGATGCAACTGACAAGATGTTGAGCAGCAAAAAAGAGATGAACGTCCAAGCCGTCAAAGAGCATGATACGATAGTCGTTTGGGGGCAGCGCGGCTGAGAGCGCGCACTTTTCACGACTGAGCAAGCTTTGGTACAGCAGACTGGGCTCGGGGCCGGAAACCCGAATCGACCCTAGCGCCTACATCTAGAACCACCCTGAAGCAAGAGAAGGCCCCCCCCCCCCAGAAGCCGCCCTTTTTTAAACCTCAAGCCATCCTGGTGAGAAGTGAAAGGCACCAGCTCGAGACATGACGGACCGCTTCTACCCCGTTGGCATGGAGGCGTGGGCTCCTGGGGTTTCGGCTCGGCATGCGTAGTGATGTAGTGTAACATAATCCAGCATTCTGACATATTCTGACAGCTGTTGTCGGCTTTCTTCGAGCCTGTAAACTTGAGTATGTTCCGTTGATTGCGGAGCTGGCGTTCAAAAACTCGGTGTGAAAACGATTCGGATCTTTTGTTAAGGGTTGGCATGATCGGTGCTCAGTTTCTGATATGCTGATTTTCGTTCCTGGTTAGCTGCCGGGACGATCAAAACGACACGCCGGTGACTCTCAAGAGCAAACTTAGACCGCATCTGAACCTAGACCAGCACTTCATCCTAAGATGACGATCCTTACTTGCCCCCCCCACAAGCCGATGTCAACGAGGTTTGGTCCAAAGAACCTCGACCCCCGAACCCTGAGCTCCTGCCTTATCCCTAAACCCCTAAGCCCTCCCCTTTCTAAACCCCTAAAACCCTAGATCCAAAGCCCAAAACCTCGTAAATCCCCCGAATCTTAATGAACCCCTGAGGCCGATGCTGAAAATTGGAAGACGACCTACGAGGCTTGAGCCGGCGATTGGGGTGGGGGGGAGGGCTGGACCCCATAATATGGTAGGGTTTAGGGTTTAGGGTGGGCCTAAATAAAGTACCAATACTATTGGTTGGGGGTTCCCTTATGATATTTATTTATCGTATAACATACCCCAAAACCTTATTCTGATTATTAAGGCCCCTGTAGTACCTCGAGGATTTAGGATTCAGGCTTTGGAAGCACATCTCAGAGCTTAAACCCCGGACTGGGGGGCCAGTATGCCCGGACAAGCGTAGCAGAGTCAGTACTGTTGGTACAAGTCTTCGTACTCGGTTCGTTTGTTTGCCTTCGTATGTATGTGCAGTGCTGAAACCGTCAGGTCCTGTGCCAGTGTAAGGCAGGCGGGAGGCCCCAACTGGAGCTTGGACTCCCTCGTGGGCTCACCAGGCATCCAAAAATCAGAAAGGTGATCACCGACAGCGATTGCTCAATGAGCTTGTGTCAACCTACCTATGGAAAATCGCTAACTGAGCATGTGTAACGTGCACAGATGTCTTCTCACATTCCCGATGTTTTGCCACCCACCTGGATCCAGGTGATGAACGAGATGCGGTCTTTCGCCCGCAGCCCCTACCCGCCAGGACGCTAAGGGCAGACAAGGGCGCTGGGCAGCAGTGACAAAACATTCTTGAAGGTGCAAATCGCCTGAGGCACCAGAGCAAAGAATGCCTCAATGCCGACAGACATCTGAAACTCCACCAGCTGTACGCAGGAACGGCCATCCACCAGCCCGGATCCCGGGACCACTTCGGCTACAGTGCGCCGGGTCCGATCGCAAGCAGGCGATGTTGGAGTCCAACGCTATCCTCATCTCATCGTCATCTTCATCTACATCCTCCCCCTGTTCCTCCTCCTCCTCCTCCGCCTCCTCCGTCATCAACTTCATCATTATCAGCATCATCACCATCACCATCACAATCACCATCATCACCATCATCGTCCTCAGTTTGGGGGCTGGCAGGGATGCAGATGTACACGAAGGCGTGCATGTACTCTATGCGATGGAGCTCCCAAATACGGGGCCTTGCACATCTTGACCCGACGGCCTCCGGCACGGCTAGATGAAGGGCTGAGTGCTCAGATAGTAGGATGTGCAATTTGGGGTGCGGTGAGGCTCAATAGATAGTAATACTATTCCTTTGGGTTCGGTTCCTCTATAGGCGAATGCACCCCACCAGACTTAAAACAGTAATTACGGATTCGGCCCCTATATTCACCTAGCCAGCGTGAAGACACTCGTAAGGATATTAATGCATTCCAGTTATCTTCATCATGAAAGCGGCGGCCACTAGTGCCAATTATCATTTCACTGCCATCGTGGCCACGACCGGCACCACCCCACCACCTCCAGTCGTTATCACATGATGTTTGTTCATTGTGTTGGGTGTACTGTCTATATAGGTGTCGGTGGAGAACCAGTCGAGGATGACAAGTGCCCGTCCAGGGTGTCTACAGGGGTTTGAGGGTTTTCAAGGTCTAGGGCTTTGGCCATGTCGGGCTTCGGGTTTTTCGGATCCAGGGTTTGAGGGGCTCGGGCCTTTGAGGGCTGGGTCTTCGGCCCTTCTCGGACTACTTGGGCTTAATCCTAAAACACAAAGCCGCACCCACAAAGCTTTGGTTAACTGATCTCCCTAGCGCCTGGGAGGCCGTGGAGATATCTGCAAAGTCTGCAAAGTAGAACTACGTAGATAACCAATGAGAACTGCGTACGTCCAGGGCAAAAGAATGCAAGCCATGAGGAGTTGGAGTCGGTCTAGGATAAAGCCTGGATGGGTGTAGACGGATGTTTTGAAGCTTCGTGCCCCACGGATACGTCCTTGAGCATGTCTGCCAGGTACGAGTGGGACGGCGATGAAGCAAGCGGCAAGCCGGTGGAGGTTTGAACGCAAGGGTTCTATTGCAAGGATCCACACGTTTAGGGTTTTCATTTCAGGGCCCAGCCGTGGGTACCGTCTACGGTTTGTAGGATGGCCCCCGTGCAGTGGGAGGGCCAAGACCTCTGATCTTGCGGCTTGGGAATGATGCAGGGGTTGTCTCAGTTTCTTCGATATTGAGGTCCATAGAAGCCACCGTAGGGCTTCGTTCTTCCTTGCGAGTGTTCATAGTAATGGTAATATTAGGGTTTGCTATCGCGTTTGGGGTTGGGCTTTGACACAAGAGCTCGCAACAACAAAAGAAGAAGAGATCCTTCCCTCACTTCCTGGGGTGTTTTATAGAGTTTTAGACTTTTGCTAACGGTGTTGTACAGAGTATCTCCGGGGGTAGGGCATCGAGTTTGGCTTGGGTCCGGAACTTCGAACTGAACACTTAGGTTTGGTGTCTATCAGCTTTAGGGTTTAGGGATTAGGGGTTTAGGACAAGGTAATTCGTAATTACCGAAAACCATGGAATCTCCTTGGTGGGGAAAGAGTTTAAGGTTTGAGGGTTCCGGGCTTGGGGCTTCTTGAAGTTGATACTCCAGGCTTCGGGAACAACCGAGTCTAGCGCCCAGGGCTCGATTATCGAGTCTTCATTATAAACCCTAACCCTGAAACAGGCTTCATTCCAAAGAGCATGTTGTATACTACCTTTACAGCACGAGACTCTCAGCCATAATGGAGAGGCCTGATAACCGAAATATAGAATACTTAGACTGTTCAGACCTCCGGATTGAGCCCGTCCTTGCGATGTGGCCTCGGTTCCTTCATTGCATCATTGGCCAAAAAGCCATAAAGTCTACAGTATGGAGTCCTCGGGCCCGCCATCTGTGCATTCAACCATCCGCGCACAGGAAGCTTTTGAAGCCAGAGCCCACACACAGGCTGAACCTCATCATCGTCAACAGTGTAAAGCCCGACTCTTGACCATAATCTCTACGACATAGCCTAAAGCCTACGGCAAAGGAGGAGGAGGTGGTGCCTGCACCACCTCCGCCGCGGGCTGACGGCTCTTCGGCTCCATTGCAGCCTCGATTTCTGTTGCACGTGGGATTTTGTGAAAAGGGGTTTTAGAGTTTCTGGATTAGGGTTAATGTAGAGATTTAGGGTTTGTGGGCTTACGGTTTGTGGATGTAGAGCTTGAAGTTCAGGGTGCTGGCGCTTGGGGTAGCCCGTTTTCAGATTGTTCGGTTTAGGGCTTTGGAGTATGATGAATCTGATGTCCTCAAACTGTAGCTGTTCTGATTATACCAAGGAACTTAAACCATAAACCCCAGAATCCGCGTGTCCTGTCAAGCACGTACGCTCAGCCTTCTATACCCGAATCCATCCTTGGAGCACTCCTTCCAGCGTTTCGGGCTTGCGGTTGTTCCAGGTTCATCCCATGACAGACGGTACATAATTTCATTCAAAGCCCTGCACAAGCTCTATGCAACCCTCATGCGCTCAACACCCTGTGCAAACCAGAAAATGTTGGCGGAAAGTCCCCATGGAATCCATGGAAGTTCTTATCCGAAACCCTACACCCTAAACTTTAGGGTTTAGGCTGCCCCAAACCCCCAAGCCCTACACCCGAGGCATGGATGCTTGCTTCGGCGAGGCCTGGTGTCCACTCCTGGGGTTTAGGGTTTATGTATGTATGTATATATATATATGAGCATATATACATATATATATATATATATGCTACCCCCCCCTCCGGTACCTAGGTTTTCGGCTTTATGTGGGCCGAGGG